ACTTCCTCTTCACCCTTTTGAACTTGTGTTGTTCATTCCCATGCGGTTGTTTTCCCTGTATCATTGGCAACAACAGATGTTTTGAGTCAAGGACCCAGAAAAGTGCCTCTCAAATATGTCAGGTCCAGGAGGAGAGGGACTGTGTCTCTGGGACATTATTTCTTCATTCTCTTTCAGCAACCGAACGTATTTCCTTTCCATTGTCTTTTTGTTGGAAGCTATCCATTGCCGGCATCACCGCTATCAGCTACAGGAACAAGAAGGCAGCTTCCAGCAGGCAGGGCCAGTTCTTAGCCAGTCACTTGTCATGTTTAGGCAATCTCTTGATAATCCAAAGGGTTTTCCTTAAGGTCCAAGTAAATCAATAAAGTAGCCCCCCTCCCATGCCATGCCAACCCTTTTCTCTGTCAAGTAAGCAGCAGCCAAGGGATGTTTAGAACTTCTTCCATGTTTGGCGTTGGCGGGCCATAAATTGGGATATTCCGGAAGAGCAAACTTTAGTTGCAGCACGTGTATGTGTGGATGCCGTGACTTAAAAGAGCCAAAGCATCGAGCTGGGAAGAGGGGTCAGTGGAAACTCACCACTGGAGCGAATGGCCTGGACAGTAGACATTCAAAGGGGCAAGGGTTATGTTTCCTGGGGAAGCAAAGACTGAGGGTCTTAATTCTTCACAAGTTAAAATGTCTCCAAGTCAGAGGACAGAGACCGTCTGTGCTGCATCAGAGACAGGAGGAGGAAATGTACCTAAACAACAGAAGGAAAACTGAAAACTGAATTTAAGAAGTTCCTGACAGTTAGGGCTGTGACCCAGAAAACACATTGCTGACATGGCCTATGCAAACCCCTCCTCTAGAGAATGTAAAGCAAAGGGTGGACAGTGTTCTCAGGGATATCTTTGGCATAGTTCCTCTGGGAGCCCAGCCTGGTGTGCTCTAAGTGGTTGCTTAAGGTCCCACTCTTGTTCCAGGATCGTGTAGTATTTTATTTCATTTACTGTCAGATGGACACAAAAGACATGGGGCCAGCTGGTGTCTGGGGTCAGGGCAGATCTGGGGAGCCAGAGAGCATATTTGCTGTCCTCGGGCCAAGCCATACTTCTTTTTGAGTCTTGGATTGGCCTTCCCAGGTTATTGGTGATCTTCTACCCTTTTTCCTTCCGAATAAAATAAAGTCAAGTGTAAGTGGTGGTGTGTATAGTGACAGTAGTAGCAATAGTAACTTTTAGTGAGCTTACTGTGTCCCTGCTACTGTGAAAAGCACTTTATATAGCCCGTTCCATTTACTCTTCCCCACAACCCTATGCAGTAATACTGCTATTATATCCATTTTACAGATGGGAAGGCTGAGGCTCTAAAAGGTTAGTGAGCATTCGCCTAGGATTCCAACCCAGATGAGAGCTCATGCTGTGGTAGGTTTACTCAGTCCAGTTAGGGTTCAAATCCCATTTCCACCACTCTTCACCAGTGGTCTGGGACACAAGACTTCAATTCTCTGAGCCTCAGTTTCCTTTTTGGTAAAAAATGGAGAAAATGCTACTTATTTCACAGGGAACGTGATGTAAGATAGGTGGAGAGAGCCCCCAGGGCGGTCTCTTACCCCTGCTTTTTCCTCCACTTCCTGGGGCTTCTCTGGGTCTGAGCCATTCCTTCATGATGTCCCTGGTTCTAATCAAGCCGCTCTCAGTGACAGGCGTTTTGCAGCTCAGCATCTCTCTGACTGATGTCTACTGCTAATTCCTTAAATTTACATATCATCTTTCTTCCCTGGAGCTCATAGCACTTAACAGACAAGTGGGGCACAAATGATTTAACTAAGTGAAATCCAGGGGCCTGCTTGTCTGCAGACTCCACACACTGGTGGATTAGCTCAGATGTCAGCACTGAATTATGATCCTTCAGCTGCTCGCGCTTAGCACGCCACCGGCATTAACTCCCTGGTCTTGCGGTGGTCCTTTAAATCACGCATAGTGATTATCATCTTATTGTGAGAAGGAGAGGGGACGGGGCGGGGGGAGACACCAGAGGGGAGGGGAGGGACCCTACCTGGGGGTGCTGGAAGGGGAAGTCCCTGAAACCTCTGGCCCCATTGGGCCTGGAGTTTTAGTAACAGGATGGGTAAATAGAACAAACCCAGACAAAATCCACTCAACCAGTTCTTCACACCTCCACACACATTTAACTTACCAAATTCTAACCATAATTCCTTGATTTCCCTGCCGCTTAAGAATGTACATTCACATAAGTGGCAGTATTTCTGCCAAGCAATTTTCAGGCAGCAAGTGGGTCTTATTCGTGAAACTGTGAAGGAAGAAGGCTGAATAGCAAGTCTCTGAAATCTGGTTTCCTTTATATGAGGTGGAAACAGTAAAAGCTTGGAAATTACCAGGAAGGTGGGAGCATTTGAGGGGTTCTCGCTGGTGTCTCAGTGGGCTGGGTGCTTCCCCAGGCACCCATGGAATTCGCCATGGCATCATTGGCTGACTTCACCTTTGAAAGGGCTGTTGGCTCAGGCGGGTAGAGGGAATTGAGAAGGGATTATTTAAATCTGAGGGATTACGAGAGGCTAGCTGATTCTCCCTCTGTCCTCGTTTCCAATGGATAGCCTCATAACATTCTTTGTGTCTGTCATTCATTCATTCATTCATTCACAGGAACAACGTCTTCTTGAGGAGTGGCACCTATATAGCACGATCCTAGGGGTAGAGGGAAGAAGCAGCGTTAAACCTTATATGTGTAAGACCAGAATTTTGCAATCTAACTGGAGTGATAAGAAAAATACAAGAAACAGTTAAATTAACAATGCCGGGCTGTGGGTAGTTACCTATTGAAATCCATGGAAAATGGCCTGAAGTCCTTTCAGAAATAAGGTAAAATCGTCAGTACAGTCAATAAATGCTAGAGCTGTTGAGAGAAGAGGGGAGTTAATGTTGTGTGTGCCAGAATGCTTAGAAGAATTAGCAAAAAGAGATAAGATAGGTTGGGGTGGGGGGTGAGCAAGGAATTACAGGTAAGAGGAAAAAAGGCAGCAACGAGCCCAGCGGGGAAGCCAGTTTGCCTCAAACAGAGCGTGATTGATTGCAAGGACTTGGGGCAAGGTACCCGCCGAGCAGCTGAAATAAAGAGCTTACAGCAGGAAGGTGGAAAAGCCACCGTCAAGCCTGGGCGCTACCATTTCTGTAGCCTCTCTACCCTGCACAAATCACTTTCACGCTTCTGAGCCTCAGTTTCTTCACGTGCAAACTAAGCTTAGGAAGTCCCAGCTCACAAGCATATAGCAGGGATAAAATGAAATAATGCACGTGGATGTGCTTGTAACCTCTAAAGCATTATGCAAATGAGTTCTAATTATTATCATTAATAGCGGTAGTAATAAGATCTGATGCGGGAAGCATAGGTTTCGAGATCATGGAGGGTCTGGTTTGGCGTCGGTGTCTCCTCCCTCAGCAGAACAGCATCATTAACATTCTCTTCTGTAGACAGATGCCTTTCAGTTGCCTGAGCTGATTTTGGCCTTACGGAGGTCACATGTTGGGTGATTGAGGAGGCACACACTGGAATCCCCCATAGGCATTCTGTGCTGGTCTCATTTGACTTCAGGGGAAGGTAGCCTCTAAAGCAATCATCCCAGAGAGTCTACAGGAAGGGGCTCAGGGGAACCAGAGAGCGGGGCAAGGCAGCTGGCAAGTCGAGGAGGAAGAAGCTGTTCTGGGCCACTAATGAGAGGTCTGTCACAGGTTCAGCTCTCACCTAGAAAGATGATGTCCGCAGGATAACGGCAGCAAACCAGTGGTCCAGGGAGTGTTGTGTTGATTCAGGACTCTGGAGTCCTAGCCTTTCCCACAGGATGTTCACTGTCACTGTTGAGTAAGAAAGCTCTGAGCACACATCCCCGATTAACATGGCATCACATGAACACAGTCCTAAGGTGTCTGATGTGCCCACATTCCGCAGTGGGTATACGGTGAAAAGTGCCCCTGCCATCTTGCAGAAGTGTTCGGCATAAGATGCCCCTGTTTCAGGGCCAAAACGAGATAGTGAGATTTGCTCCTCAAATGCCACCTTGCTCTCTCTACCAGTGGCCACAGTGGTCCCACACGAGTTGGATTTGCAGGTGCAGATACCTGCACCTGTGTCATGCAAGGCATGAGAACCCGGTCTTCCCCATAAGTGTCTGATGAATTTAAAACCAATCGGCCAAAAGGGCCATTCTCCAAACGTTTGGATTAGTGAACCCTCACTTTCCCAGAACATATATATTCTCTGCTAAACCCATAGACTTTGTTAATGACAATGACAGCACCTTTATCATCGGAGCTGTGTGTGCCTGGCCGTCTGGGAAAGGCCACACCCAGGCCTCCCCAGGGTAGATAGGAAAGAGAATGGTGTGTCAGGGCCCCTGAATTACCCTACTCAGCTGCCACCCCCATTCTGCTTGAAGTTGACACTGGGCTTCTGAGTCACAGCCGCCAGAGCCCAGGTGTAGCACTGATGGAGACAGAAGGTTTTAAATGTCTTTCATTTGGACAGTGCCCAGCCAAGACTGCAAAGGCTTCAAGCATAAACTACATGGCTAGAGTCACCCTCCAATCTAGCAACCACCTCATCCCCTGTAAACTGTTCCCTTATAATTCAGTACGTTCTACCGCATTGGCTGTTTGGGTAAGCCAATGACAAATAAGACGTGGGTCTGGCCTCATAGGATCCAGGGGGAGAAGAACACATGCACGACCAGCCAGGACATGAGGCCGGCCGGCTGTGCCAGGGGCAACATATGAGAGAGGCAGAAAGCAAGTGACTCGAGAGGGCTTCAGGAGGACACAGCATTTGAATCAAGGCTCTGAAGGAGGCTTAAGAAAAGGACACAGGGCCTGGAGAACACGGACATGAGTAAACCAAAGACACCCAAACTCCAGTCCCAAGTTTCCCCTGAAGGGGCCACAGCTGCAAACCGATGTCTTTCCCAAGCATTTACCAAGAACCTCTGGATTTGTTTCCCACAGATGACAGGAATTTCCTGCGGCTGCAGAGTGACAGCGGAAGAGAGGGGCAGTATGCGCGGCTCATCAGCCCGCCGGTCCACCTGCCCCGAAGCCCCGTGTGCATGGAGTTCCAGTACCAGGCCACGGGCGGCCGCGGGGTGGCGCTGCAGGTGGTGCGGGAAGCCAGCCAGGAGAGCAAGCTGCTCTGGGTCATCCGCGAGGACCAGGGCGGCGAGTGGAAGCACGGGCGGATCATCTTGCCCAGCTACGACCTGGAGTATCAGGTGGGGTGGTGAACGGAGCTGGGTGCGGAGCTCCAGGGGATCTTGTGATGCCTATTTCACTGTTTCAGAGGGCCGCCCATTCATCATTAGGGGACGTGCTTAAGCGCTGCTGTTTTCATTGTGTTTCCCCCGTTGCCATGGCAACTAAATGACACTCTTATTTGTTATTCAGAATGTGCCTATCTCTACACCCAGACTTGGTTCTTTGTTCCTCCTATTGCCTTTTATATTGCTGAAATCTTCTCCAACAAATGTTTCTTCTTTCCATTTTATTTTAGATTGCTATCAGGTAGGCTGACAAAGGGACACAAAGCCAGGGAAATAAACACAAACAAACCCTCCACACAGGGAAGAGGGAGGCCTGTGGAGCCCCCCTGAACCAAATCCCAGTGCCAGGAGGAAATTGGAATAACCTCCCAGACCTGTCCCGGGAGTGTGAGCACAGGAAGGGGAGCAGGCGCTCTGCAAGCTCAGTGGCCCGCAGACCTGAGACAGTCCTAACGGAGTGGTTTCTCACTCAACAGCTCTGGGATCTGAGTTCTATTATCTCTGTCCCACAGCGCAGGAGGCTGAGGCACAGGTGGGTGCACACAGCCGTGGCTGCAGCTTGGGTAGGAGTAGGCGCACTGTGGAAGCGGTGACCGAGAACCAGCCACGGCATTAACCTTCTCCTCCCCAGGCGAGGAGCAGCAACAGATGGCTGGTAGGACAGCCAGCCGCTCACCCGGCTTGCCAGAGGACGTGTGCTGGTGTGCAGGGAGAGCGTGGGGAGGGCGAGAATGAGGGCTGACTGAAGACCGCAGAGCACTTCTGTGTGCAGCCTGCGGTCACTCTCCCTTGAGGTCGTAAGGTGTCCTGAGACCTTCCCCACCCCTGCCTGGGATCCCACTTTTAAACCTTAATGCGTTGTTTTGCAAGTACCTGTTTGCATTTGTGTCTCACCTACTAGAGTGAGCTTCTCTGGACAGAGGTCTCATCTTACTAGGTTTTGTTACTATCCCTGTGCCTAGCACATAGTAGGTGCTCTGTAAACCACTGGTGAAAAACAAATCCTTTTCCTCCTATTTGTAATAATGGAGCCCTAAGGTAACTTATAATAAAAGGCCGGAAAGCAGTGTTACCCATGAGTCAATCCAAATCTGTGTGCTATGTTTCTCACATTACCCCCACCTGCTCTTGTCCTCTGAGTTTTCCAATACCTCAATTGGGCATTTGGAAGATTTATGAGAAAGGAACCTCAAAAATAGCTGGAGAAATTTCAACCCTCCTTGAAACATGCCCTGATTGTGGTCCTTTTAATCAATATATTTTAGTTACTGGACAACAAGATCCATCACCTTGCTATATTTTCTTATTCCTTCAAATATGCATTTGATTTGAACAAACTCATTTTAAATTAAGATTTTCAAGAGCTATAGCCATGTGGTCAACAGATGTGTACCAGGTGCAATAACACACACACACACGCGCACATACACACACACACACACACACACACATACATGGTAAGCTGAAGTTAACAGAAAATTGAAAATCTTTGCACTGTTTGGACCAGGAGGCTCAGTTAACCTATCTTGTTTTTTCGGCTTCTAGATTGTGTTCGAGGGAGTGATAGGGAAAGGACGTTCGGGAGAGATTGCCATTGATGATATTCGGATAAGCACTGATGTCCCGCTGGAGAACTGCATGGGTATGTGAATATCTGTCTCTTTCAAATAACACACCAAGGGCTGGGATATACAAGAGGAGGCTGCATGCCATTTTCCAACATAATTGTCACCCAGGGGGTGGGGCAGTGACAGTCTGTGCAGGAGGCGAGGTGTGGGTGTAGTTATATCTGAGGCTGAGTTCAGGGTAGGAGCGGGTGAGACAAGAGGAAGCCTTCTATCCCTGTTCCCAATCAGAAATAGACGCACACTAAGTGCGTGGAGATTCAGGGTGGCAAGACCCCAACGTCAAACTCCAGCTTTTAGTAAAGAAAATGCTAGAGGACCAGAGCAACTGCCAGTCAAAATTACACGCTGGAAAGTTTTGATGGATTTAATGGAAGCCTTCCCTGATGAGCACGAATAGTACATAAGTTAGATAAAAGTGATAACACAGTTACCTGAGTAGTTCTTTTACATGAATGAATTGCAGGGCAAACTATGGCATATGAAAAAAAAAAAGATTTCAGACTTTACTTTAAAACTAATACTTCTAACGCCCAAGGCCCCAGAGTCATGGTAGGATTAAACAGTGCAGGCCAGGTGACCAGCACAGGAAGGATACCATACCTGTTACCTTGGTCGGAAGTGCTGAGCAGACAGCCCAGCTGAGATGCACACATTTTACTCAGGGCCTCCCCTGGCAGAAGAGGTCACCTTGACCGTGTCCCATCAGAGCCATAGACATCCCCCAAAGCAAGAGGGCAATCCTGAGAAGGTGGGACCTGCCTGCAGCTGGCAGAGGGGCCATAATAACTCACCAAGTGCTTTTCTTGGCACACGAGTCCCGGGGGGTGGGGGGCGGTGTGCCTAGTGATGTCAGAAGCACCTGGGACTGCCCCTGTCCCTTCGGGCAGCTCTCAGGACCAGGCTTCTAGAGTAATCCCAGCTCTGAGAAAGTAATCAGTGGTAAGTGACTGATTACAATGCTTTGGGGACCCATTACTCTATGAAGGACTTTTTGTTCCAAAGCAACTTTGAGAATCTCCCCCCACCTACCTCACCCCCGTGATGATGATGTGTTAGACACAGTTTAGAACATGTGGAGGACGTGGGGCACTTTCCGTGGAATGTTACAGAAAAAAAAAAACCTAACGAAGTCTTCTTCATGATCACGTTTATCCAATTATTCACTCTATATTTACTCAATTATCTCTTCCCTTTATCTAACTCAAATTTTTTTGTTTCTTTTTCCCCCAGAACCCATCTCAGCTTTTACAGGTGAGAATTTTAAAGGTAAAAAAATATATATTTTTTTGCATGTCTTTTCCTTTCCCTGTGTGATGTGAATTTGGTGGCGGGAATAAATCTCCAAAGTTGGCAAATTTCTCGGGAGAATATAGACGCCGCACCTTCCCACCGCTAGATGGCACTAGCAACACCTGTAGATGCGGGGAAAGGGATTGAGATCCTCACTGTCTCTTGTTTAATTAAAGTTTAGAAACCTACAATAGAGACAAATAGGTTACAGATAAACCTTTCAGCCTTGCACTGTCCAACGGGGAGCAATGAGGCTGAAAATTCAGGAGTGGTGAGAAAGCAGAGGCTGTGGGAAGACTCAACCAAAAAAAAAAAAAAATATTAGCTGTAAATTAAAAGTGAAATGAGGTGGCAATGATTTATTTTAGCCTGAAGATGGTTTCTTTCCAGTTCCAGGGTACCAAGGCAGCGGTCTCAATTAACCCTCAGTGAGGGACAGTGGTGGGCGGTCTTGTGAGGAAAGAGAGTTAGGGAAGAGACACAGGAGTGACAGTCATAAGGAGGGAGAGTTGCCAAATTCAGGAGCTCGTGTCTGGTGCAGGGAGTCCGGAGTAGCATTCCGTGGCTGGAGTTAGAGCACTTTAAATGCAGGACTGAAAAACAAAAAAGGACATGTTTTCCCTAAGAAAGTAAATAGAGAACTGAACAAAAAGAGAATAATTTGGGATGCTTGCCTCACCCAGGAATAAAAAAGAACCGTGGGTGATAGTAATGTTTGTGCTGTCATAATACAGTGGGTTTTACATTTTGCCATCTTTGCAGTGCAGTTAGTTGGCACTGCTGAGGTCCCCACGCAGGTTTCTAATGCTAAACATTTAGGAGCCACTCCGAATGCCTCGCTGCAGTTGGCCTGCGTGAAAAACACACTGGGGGAGACTCACCCTCACCTAAGGACAAGGGCTATTCATGACGTGGTTGATGCCAACAATTGTGAGGGTCACTGTGCGCTGTCTGTCCTGGACAGGCCTAACCCTGTGGGTGACAGCATTTCAGAGATAAGGGCTGCCATTTTCATATCTGATGTCTAGACTCGCTATCTTCACTCTCATTAATCTGTCCAGCTCCCGGCTAGAAAAAGATGAATTCCTGGTTTGCCACCTAGCTGTGCTCCCTGGCTCCAAATCACCTTTTCTAATTCGCCGCTCACCACCCACAGCTCTTAGACGATCCCTGAGGAGCAAAGCTGCAGAATAGAGAGAGTGACGGCCCGACATAGGATGTATTTCCTTTCCTACCCCTCCTTGCCTCCCTGACCCCCGTGCCCACTCCCCACCCAGCAGTTTAAAGTAGTAAGAGCATCCGCGCACCCACATGGGTGCTCTCTGGGTGTGAGATTTATGTTAATGCAAATCCAAAGTATTGGAAGGAAAGCTGAGATCCAAACCGAACGACTTGGATTACAGCTGAATTCAAGTTGTAACCTTCAGGACCCCAGGTAATGCTTGTGTTGGTGAAGCGAAGCCTGCTTATGTTGTTTCACCTGACTCTCTTTGGGTTGTTGAGACTCAAAGCTCCCAGAAAGGCTGGTTAAAGACGTGCCGGCAGCTGCCGCAGACACCATTCTGTGCGCACCGTGTCGGGTCGTGATTGACAAGCACGGTGGCTAAGTGCTCCGCTTCCGTAAGAGAATAAACAGACCAGGGCACGTGCGCGCTCCTTGAAGCTGTGCTTACCATGAGGCTTCCCAGTGCAGGCGTGTTCTCTTGTAAAAAATGTATAAATAAAATCTCATCGGAGCAGCAGTGCTCATTTAGCCAAAATAAACACAGGGCTTAGTGACTTGAAGGTAAGAATTTGCAGTGTGCTCCCGGTGGGCCACTCGGAGGCCGAAGCAAAGGCAGTGCGCAAGTTGAACGGATCGGCCGGAATGGCCATGGCTGTTGTCTCAGAAAATGGCAAGCATCTTTGGAAGGAGGAAACCAAGTCTTGGAGAGACTTGGCCCAGGAACACAGAGCTGATTGCAGAATCGGAATTGGGAATGGGCAGTTGCTATCACACTGGCACGTTTTCCATGGAGCTCCGAGTTGGTAGCCAGAGAACCTAGCGCCAGGGGTCTCCTCTTCCCGGCTGAGACCTGTTTGACCTCAGCATGCAACTCTGTGTCTTGACTCCAGCAGTCTTGACTCTGTGTCTTTTCCATTTGGGAGAGGATGTATGTTCCATCTAACCTAGTGACTCATTCTGTTTCTCACCAGGTCAGGACAGCAGGAGCCCTCTCTGGGTCAGGGCGTAAAATCAGCCTTTTAACCAAAAAAAAAAAAAAAAAAAAAAAGGAAACAGAGAAATCAGGTTTGGGCAGGCAAGCTATGGAAAGTTGATGCTGAAACACTACTAACAATAGGCATTTACATTGTTAGTATGTTTTTTGAAGTGGAGTTGTTTTTCTTTTCCATTATAAATTGACCATGCAACAGAAGTAATCTCATTCTTTAGGAGAGATCAATGCATCCTAGGTAAATCTTTAGGGAAATGCAATAAGAGTGGCCTCTAGACCTGGACTTACTAGGTATTCTTGATCTTTTATATTTTGAAGTGTCTTTCATTTTCTGACTCCCATTGATTTCTTGCCATGCAACATTTTATTTCAATCACCCTGTGTTTTCTGCTTAGTATATATACTTAGGTTGTGTACCAGGGTGTGAGTCAGTAATGAAGGGACGCTGAGCAGAAAAAGAGGACTGTTTTGAGAAGGGAGACAGAGAAGAGAGAATGAATAAACTGTGTTGTCAAGTGACTTTTAAAAGGACCTCTTTTTGTTGTTGTTATGAGTCACGTTTTAAACAATGTAGCCTGGGTGTGCATTTCTTTCTTTTCTCTTCTAAAGCAGTGACTATAAACATGGTGCCGTCATGTATCTTTTTCTAGGATTTGAGCTTTAACAAATGAAAAACTGTGTGTTTAGGTAGGTAGGGGGAGGAAAAAAAAGAGCCGAAAAGTGGTGTAATTAAGGTGATGGATTATTTCCTCTTACCCAATACTTTCTTTTTCTCAATTAAAAAAAAGAATAATAAAGAAGCCAGTAAAAATATATAAAGCCCATAATCAGAGTTCTGTAGTTGTTGGCCAGGTGTGTATTTTTAGCAGCTCACCGTGGAGGCAAGAGTTTTGTTCATGTTAGAGGCTGTGGGCTTTGAACAAAGCAGGAGCAGGGAGACTGGGTCTGGTGCCCTACCTGTTAGAGACCCATGGAAATCCCAGGCAGGGTGCACCTACGGAAGGTGGGCGTTAGAAGGAAGGATTCAGAACTGCTGTCTTAACACTAACGGATGCTAAGAGCAACACCAGTATCTCCTGTAAATAGCTGTGAACGCAGATTTTATGTCTCAGACCATTTCTGAGGGCCAGGGGCCCCATCTCTTGGGTTTCATTACAGACCTCCACAGTTTTCATCTGGGTAAAACCAGGAGAAAGTGAACATCAAAGGCTGTCTCTTGGGCATGGAGGGAACAGTCTTAAGACAGGCCCATTTGGGGCCAATGCTGGCTGGCATTTGACTCTATGCCTCAGGCTTTATTTAAGCTCTGTCTATGTGGTGCCACCTAGCCAACTGTGCCATTTCACACCGCCATCCCTCCTTTCCCGCTTTCCCGTCCCACTCCCCACCCCTGTTGCCTGCGTCCCAGAGGCATGGTCCACCAGTGTCAGGTCCTCCATCCCAGGGCACAGGGCTTGGGCTTGGCCTCAGATTCCCTTTCTCCATGGATGCCCTTCCTCCCACCGCTCTCTCTGCTAGAAGTGCTTCTGAGATGCAGAGAGGGTTAAACGGTGTTCCTGAACGTAATCCTCCAAGGAAAGGGAGGGCCCGTTCCCTGCCAGGGCTCCAGATAGGCAGCTGTGGTGTGCGAATCCTCCTCCTTGTCCCTGCCCCCTGACGCCTCCAGCTGCCAGATCCAGCTAGGTGTTGCTGAGCAGGAAAGTGTGGAGATCAGATGTGTGAACCGGGTAACTGCTTGGCTGCCGCGCTTGCCCAGGGGGACACAGAGGCATTCGCTTGTGCACGCTGCCTCTCCTGCCACAGAGGCCTGACACGTCCCCTCCCCACAAGTTTACCATTAATCTCAACAGCTGCCGAGGTCGGTTTATCTAGGGGAGGAAGAAAATGTCTTTCACCAACTTCTTTCTCCAAGAATACAAAGAAGGAGACCTAGTTTAAAGAAAGTAACATAAGTGTCACCAAAAAGTTGCAAAATGTTGGACACTTCAGCCAGCTAGAGATCTGAATTCAGAGGCATTTTAGATCAATGTGGGAGGGATCCCCACGGTTTCTGCCAACTTACCAAAAACCTCCCAATGGCCCTCCCACCATCCACTGCTCATAAGGCAAATGGAAAGAGTCATTTCTCAGGGGTGCTTTGTACTTATATATCCTTTCTCCAAACAAATCCAAGGGCACGACCGCATTCTTCTGCTATCTTCTATAAACTTCTCTAGAGGAGCCAACCTTTTTTTTGTTTGTTTAATCTCATAACTTAAATAAACCTTTATCTGAAATGCCCCTTCAGCGGCACTTCATTTTCAACCTGTACAAAAAGGACCGCACGGACAGGCCAGGCCTAAAACAGTTCTCACGTGCAATGAGCCTTTTTCTTCTTTTTCCGAGAGAGAAGGCTCACCACGGGTCTTTCGGAACGCTTCTTTTGGAAACCTGAGCGACTCCTTCAGGTCTGGGTGGCATCTCGTAAAGGTAGTTGTAGGAGATGCTTTCTCTTTTCAATGATTCACTGAGAACCTCAGACAGGTTCAGGCAGAGTAGGAGGGAGGCAGAAAGGAAGAGAGCCGCTTCCTGCTCCAACTCTGCTTGGTTGGAGTGAGGGGTCTGCAAACTTCTTCTGTAAAAGCCAGCTAGTAAATATCTTAGGCTTTACAGGACATACAGTCTCTGTTGCAAGTACTGAGCTCTGCTGTCGTGGCACAAAGCAGCCGTAGGCAATATGTAAACAAATGAAGGTGGCTGTGTTCCAATAAAACTTTATTT